GCCCCCTCCTCCCCTCCCCACGTCTGGGAAGGGAACAACATGCACTTGCAGAAAAAGCACAAGCCGAAGGCTCCAGACCTGTGAGACTTGGGACACTCCCAGCTCCTCCGGGCTTCATTTTCTCTGTCTTTAAAATAAGGCAAAAAACCTTGCCCTTGAATGTGTTTATCAACCGTTAGGGCTACATGCATGTGAGCATCCTTTGTTAACATAATAAGAAATAGGGGCGCTTGGCTGGCTCAGTCAGTGGAGCATGGGACTCTTAACCTCAGGTTTGTGAGTTTGAGTCCCACATTGGGTGTAGAGATTACTTAAAAAATCAAAATCTTAAAAAAATTTTTTTAAAAACATGAGAAATAACAGAGGGAAAAAACTGATGAAAGGGAGTCGTATTTTACCTTGCATATACTACGTGCCAGGGAAGAATCTGTACTCCCATTTTCCAGACCAACAAACTGAGGCTCAGGGAGAGCTGGTTAGTGAAAGCACTGGGAGTTAACATAAAGCTGTAAGACTCCAAAGCTCTCTACACCTCTTGGTGCTGCTCCCACCGGGAGCTCCCTGATGTTGCCCTTGAGGAAACCTCCCATGCCAGAATTATCTCTGACGTTCACAGCTCTGCTCCAAACAACCCGCCTTCGCCACTTTCATAGCATGAGCGTCTGCTCAGCCCACCCAATTTCCTCTGCCTGACCTGCATGCAGGGTAAAGCTCACCCCTCCCTGGGGCATTTGGGGCCCTATCCCACATCCAGTCCAGTCATCTCCCTGTCCCTGCCATATGCCCACAGCCTGATCTGTTTTCTTCCTGCCTCTTCTGGATACCACTATTTTTGCATAACAAACCATCCCAAAATGTAGTAGCATTAAACAATGACCATGTTATTAGGCTCATGGATTCTGTAGGTCAGGCATTTATGCAAGGCGCAGAAGGGACAGCTTGTATGTGCTCTGTGATGTCTGGGGCCTCAAAGGCTGGAGGTGACTTGACATTTGGGGTCTGGAATCACTGGGGGCTCGTCCACTCACCTGTCTAAGGATTGATGCTGACACTAAGCTGGGAGCTAGGTGGGGCTGTTGACAGGAACACCTACACGGAGCCCTTTTACAAGGCCTGGGCTTCTTCATAGCACGGTGGCCTCCATCCTCGTAGGACTTCTGACACGGTGGCTCAGGGCTCCAAGAATGAGTGTCCCAGCAGACACAGTGGAAGCTGCGTTGCAATTTTATGACCCAACCACAGAAATCCCAGAGTGTCGATTCTGCTGTTCTCTACTGGGCCGAGCAGTCACGAGCCTTCTCAGATGCACGGGGAGGGACGCAGAGCCGGGACTCCAGAAGCAGGTGGCAAGGTCACACTGGAGAAGTGCCCGGGGGGTGGGGGAGATTGTTGTGGCCGTCTTTGGAAACTACAAGCTGTCCCGTGGCCTCTTCATCATTGCTGCCATGAATTCCCTTCCTCTTTAAGCCCTTGGTGCCCAGCTACTGTCTCCTCCAGGAACCTGCCTAGATAGAGAGCCATAGCTCCCACACCCTGAGGGACAGAACCGCAGCTACATGTGTGCTTCCAAAGGGACATCTGGTCTCCCTCGCTCTTCTCTGGCACTCTGGCTTCTTCTCTTCCTTGGCCACTAAAACTCACCCAAGCTTCCCAGGGCTCCAATATTGTCTTACGGGGGACTCTCCTGGGAGAATCCTTGCAGGACTTGCACCTCGCTTTGCTGATGACCACCCTATCAGTATTTCCAGCTCTGCCTCTTCCCAGAAGACCAGGTGCCCTCACCTACCTGCCAGGCGTGGGGGTTTCCGCCTCCCTGACACTCCGCACAGGCCCAAGTAAGCTCCTCCCCCAGGTTCTCTCTCTTCTCCAGAAAGGGCAGCCCCAGCCCACCTGTCACTCAAGCCAGAAGGCCTTCCCCTGAGACTGCCACCAATCCAACTCCAGGTCCCCTCAGCCTGGCTCCCAGGTCAGCCCCTCTTCCCCACTTCTGCTCTTGTCCGGCTGCTGGCAACTGCTCATGGGTTCCTGGCCTTCAGGCTTTCCCCCTACCCAGTCCAGTCCCCAAGGAAGCTCTTCCAACCAGGAAAGCTGACCTGGCTCCTCCCTGCTGAAAACCCTTCCAAGGCTTCCCAAACGTTCAGGACAAAACCCTAGCTCCTTGCCAACACATGCAGCCCTCAGCTCCCACTTGAGTTCTTTCTCCTCTCCAGCTTGGGTTCCCCTTCCTCCTCACACCTGTGCTCAGGGCTCCTGGACACACTGTGTCTTACTTCTAGGCCTGGAACTGGAGCACCTCTCCACCTCCCTCACCTGGGGAGGGTCTGTTCATCCTCATAGTGCTGTCCCATAGAACTTTCTGTGATGCTGGAAATGTCCTATCTCTGTACTATCCAATATGGTAGTCACTTGAAATGTGGCCAGTGCTACTGAGGAAGCATTTTAAAATTTTACTGACTTTAAATTAATTAAATATAAATAGCCCCATGTGGCTAGTGCTTATCATATTGGATAGTGCAGCTCCAAGATGCCATCTCTTCCAGGAAGCCCTCCTGACTTCCCCAGCCTGGGCTAGATGCCCAGCTATTGTGTTCCCATAGTATTCTGTTCTCTATGTCTCCACCTGGCCTGTGAGTTCCTTGAGTGACTGCATCTTATTTGTCATAGTATTCCCAGATCCTGGTTCTTAGTGTATACTCAATAACTGTTCAGAGTAAGTGAAATCTCTGGATCCAGATTCAGGCACAGGGTAAGCCTTATGTAAAGACCAAATCCAAAATGTCTCTGCCGTGGATCTGAGCAGGTGAATGTGTGTGTGTGTGTGTGTGTGTGTATACAGTGAGTTCACATGCAGGTGTGTGTGCAGACCCACCTGACCTTGGCAGGACCTGGGCAGGCTCCCACCCAGCTGGGGATAGTTATCTCACACACAGATGTTGGTGTCCTTGGCTGGAGAGGAAGTGTGCTTCTGAATTGGCCTTTGTGAAAATCAAACCCTGTTTTCATTCTTATTTCTAAGATGATTCATCTGCATTGCAGATGAATCTTCAGGGAGTTTAAAAAGAAAAGCTTCCAGTTTTCTGTGTGGGACCACCTGCACTCTCAGCTCCAGACTCTATAAACAAGCCCTTGCAGGCGCAAGGGAATTTGCTATTTAAATGATCCTTCACCTCCTAGGTCCAAGATGCATTTCTTGGTTTATGAGGGTCTTATGAAAGTTTTGATATTATTGGGATTTCTGCAGATGGGGCCTCAGCCTTCTGTTTCTTCCCCGCCCCTCTCCCCTCTCCCCACCCTCCCTCTAGAACGCGGCCCGTGCCTCCCCCTCTGGCAGGGAGGGGCTCTTCCTCCCCAGCTGTGCACAGTCCAGCTCTGGGGCTAAGGAGAGGAAGCAGGCATGGCTCCAGCTCCCCGGAGCCCCCTGGCAAGAGAGAGCGTTAGCCGTCCTCCTGGCCTGCCTGCAATTCCCTACAGTGTCCTTACAGGGCAGAACTTTAGAATTCTGGCCCTAGATAGTTCTCAGAGGCCTGATCCACCTTCCCACGGCAGATAGAGAGAGTGAGGCCTGGGCAATGGATTGAACTCCGCCTCGAGGCCCCCATCCTCAGTCTGGGATTCTGGGCACCACACGCCCCCCTTCTCTCTACGTGGGCTGCCCCGCGGGGACGCCTGCCTCTCTCCTGGACACAGGCTGGTGACAAACTGCCTCAGCTACGGCCATGTTCCCCAAGGAGGACCCGTGTTTAAGCAGTAGTGGGAGACTTCACCCCTTCACAGGGCAGTAAACAATTCCCCAACAGGGAATGCAGTCCTTGCCAAGCCAGGCAGCAGGTGCCTCAACTACTGCCATTGTGTTCTGAGTCTTAACATGGCATTGAAAGGGCGCGTCAAGATCTTGCAGCCTGCCATGGGACCCCCCGGAGGAGTGAGAGGTAGCCACTACAGCAGATAAGTACGTGACTCAGCCGGAACCTTCCAGAAAACTGAAGCGCAGCGGGGAGGTTGAGAGGGCAGGGACTAACTGTGAGCAGAGCCCTGAACCAGGAACCAGGACAGCTGGCTCCAGATCCCAGCCTGCCAGTCACTGTCTGTGGCCACACTCCATGACACTATGTCCCTGTTTGCCTTGGGGTGGCAAGAGGGCCGGGCTGCCAGTGCCCTACACGAGATGTGAAGGGGGCCCAGAGCCCTCTTCTTCCCGTAGTGGCCCCTGCACCTGTGAGGCAGGCCCCTGTCCCTGAGGGCTCCAGTGGCCACAAGGAGGTCCTCTTACCCCAGGCCGAACTTCCAGGTTTGTCCCCACATTAGCCCTGTCTGCTTGGCCCTACATGAGGGCTCCTGGGAACTGAAATCAGAATGCTTGTGGAAGCGGAAGGAAGTCTCAGAAGAAGGGGCCAGTGTCTTCGTTTGTTTTAATAATGAGAGTGTTGGGCAAAGCCTCTCCAGGCTACAGACGTCAGGAGTGGCCTGCCGGCACCCAGACTCGGTCTCTCTCTCTCTCACAGCACACGGCACTCACCACACTCTCGTCCTTCCCACACACCTCTCACATGCACTCTCATGCATCCACACCCTCACATCCACACCCCAGATACACACCTCACACACGCTCTCTCACACACACCCTCACGTGCACACGCATGCTCATCACACACACACACCCTCACACACATTCTCGCACATCCGTCATAAACGTACCCCCTGACACATGTCTTCACACACCCTCGTCATGTGTACACACCACACACACACATACCTCACACCATACACACACACACACACCACAGTGTGCCACTACAAAAGGGTTCTATGACAAGCAAGCTTGGGAGCTGTAGCCTATAACATCCCTGGCTTGACAGTTCCCCAAACTGGTTAGCCTTTATAGGCTCTGGGAAATCCTGCAAGAAAGACTCTGTTTAACTTGGTATTTCTCAAGCTTATTTGACGGTGTTCTTTTTCTGGGTAACACCTTTGAATCAATTAAGAATACATTTGCCTGCTGGTACCAGAGACCCAATTTTAATGACCTAAACAGATTAGTTGTGTCGAATACTCTTCCATATCTGGAGGTCAGTGGCCCAGGGTTGGTGTGATGGCTCCACCATGTCCTCAGTATCCCAGGCTCCTTCTCTCTCTGCTGGCTTCATCCTCAGCCCTGCTTTCCGCAGGGTCACCTCGTGGTCCAAGATGGCTGCCGAGCTCCACTGTGTCTGCATTCCAGGCAGGAAAAAAGGTGGGGGACACATGCATGCTCCTTGTCTCCCTATGACAGAACTTTCCCAGGGCTTCCACACAATGATTCAGATCTCATTGTCACTCCTGGCTGCAAGGGAAGCTGGGACATGTAGCGGTATTTTGGGAGGACACATTGCCCCCAGAACAGAGTATGTGTTCTGTTACCATAGAGAGAGGTGGAAATGAGTAGTGGGTTGACAAGTGTGGTCTTGGTCACTGCTTCTTGGTGTTACTGTGTTCTAGGGACTGGTTGGAGTCAGGAAGAGCCATGCCCAACCCCTACTTCCTGTCTATGTTTACTGGCTGTGGGACCTTGGATAAGCTTCCTTACCTCTCTCAGCCTATATTCTGGTCTTTAAAATAGAGGTTCTCATGCGGACCAAAGGAGACAATGTGCAGGCGTTTTATAAACTATGAAATGCTACAGAAGTTTTCATTTATTCCTCAAAATAGCCTTGTGAGGCAGACGAGCCATACTCCCCTCCCCATTTCACAGAAGAAACTGAAGCTCAGAGATGTGAATTGACTTCTATAATGATGCAGTCTTAGCCTGGTCTTTGTTCACGGACGGAACCTTGACACCGGCCTGAGTCTCAGCCCTGACCTTGCTTATAGACTGAGACCTGATCCTAGCCTTTGTTCAAGTTCTGATCTTAGACTGAACCTTAATGCTGGTTATAGACTGAGCCTTAATCCCCACCTAAGTCTAAGCCCTGATCTTCACCTCTGAACCCTAATCAATAGAGGGGCCCTCTTGAACCATCCCGTAGTCCCCAAAGATATACACTGGGCTCCATAGGGGGGAGTAGGGATGAGGCTGATCCCCAAGCCCAGAGCTCTAACATCCCAGCGGACTGGGCTTTCTCCCCTGTCTGTCATGTCGTGGCTCATCCAGATCTTGCAAATTAAGGCAGAGAACAAACCAAGCCTGTGGGCCATGGTGGGGAGAAGAGAACGGGTGTCCAGAGAAATAGGAGAAGCACACAGCCAGCTTCCCCCTAGTAATTTCCCCAGCCCAGACAGCTGTAATGGGGAAGGTATTGAAATTTAAATCAGAGCCCGGCCTAACCTCTTTGCCTGCCTGCCTCCCGCTACCACTGCTTCCTGCAATCTCAGGCTGGCTATCTCCTCCTGGGGAGAACGACAGACCGACTCAGGGAAAGTGATAAATTTTCAATTTTATTTTAAAATATACCAGATGGGAGATTTTATTGGAGCCATAAATATGTCAAGAGCAATGTTGGTGTGTGATGGGCGATGGCCCCTCCTTGGGGCCTCTCTCCCTATTTAGAAATTCCATCAGATTCTTAATAAGAGGCTCCAGTTGGACTGCAGCAAAATAGTCTCTATATTAAAGCAATTGAATTTCCATTTGCCAGACATCTTGTGCTTTAAGCTTCCAGGTTCCAGGGGTGTGGGGTTGCTAAGCCGATTCTAAATGAACCTAAACTAATAACTCTGCACAGCACGCTGGGGGCTGTGAAAGAGGGGGTGGGGAGGGCTGGGGGAGGGCAGGGGAGGGAGCAGGCGACAGCAATCACAGACAGAGAGGGGAAGGGCGGGCGGGACCACCCTCACCTCTCCTGCTCCAGGGCCAGCCTGGGGTGAAAATCCCCCAAACAACTGAAGAGCCAGCTCCCTCCATTCACAAAGGGGAAACTGAGGCCCCGGAAGAGGGGTGATGCAGCTGAACGCTGGCCCCTCTTCTCCTACAATTGCTTTCTTTGCTGTCTTGATTGATTTGATATTCTGCTGGCCTTTGTGGGAGGCCAGCTGCTGTCACCTGGGGTTTGTTGAGGGTGGGGCTGGGAGGAAGGCTGGTCCTTGCCCCCAAGACTCTCCCCGGAACAGGGACTCTCACCTTTGGAAGGCTGTGCTCCTGCATGGGTATTTTCATTTGCTCTTGCCCGTGCCATCCCCCTTGCCCCCAGCAGGCCTCACCTCTGTCAAGTTCCTTGCTCCCTGCTCCCGCAGAGACCATAGCCTTTCACTCAGCCTCAAGCACCTGGCTCAGATCATAGACTCAAGGACATTAGAGGTCAGAGGATCCAAAGCTGGGGAAACTGAGGCCCAGAGAGGGCACAGGAAGTACAATTCTGCTAGAACCGTCTAGGGTGATGCTTACTCACAACCTATCTACTCACCCCAACTTGAGCCAGGTCTAGGGGACACCTGCCCAGCTTGACACAGGCCCAGACAATGCCCTGGTGGTGAGGGATGGAGCACGCCCTGACACACATGTCTTCACACACCCAGAGGGCAGTGACCTGCCTAAGGTCACACAGCGAAGATACAGCAGGGGTGAGGTTCTGACCTATGTCTTCCAAGGCTCCATTCCTAGTCCCTAAACAAATAAATGTTACCCTGACTCTTCTTTGAGATGTACTGCAATCAATTCATTCGTCCATTCATTTAATCCACAGATATTTGTTGAGCACCTACACTGTTTTTAGGCACTGTTCTAAGTGCTAGGGGGAGGGAGGGCAGGATTTGATGTTGAACAAAACAAAATTCCCTGTCCTCCGAGAGCTCATATTCTAATGGAGGAGAAAGAGAAAACAACATTAAAGTCAATGACAAAGTTCCAGAGGTAATAAATCTGTGGAGTGGGACAGAGCAGGGTCAGGAGGATGGCAGTCTGAAGTTGAGTGGTCAGGGCAGGCCGTGGTGAGAAAGTACAAATCAAGAGCAGAGACTCAGGGAGCTGAAGAAGTCAGCCAACCATGTGGACCCTGGGGAAGGAGCATAGTATTGAAGTGTTGCCAGTGCAAAGACCCTGAGGTCACAGTGGACCTGGTGTGCTTGAGTACAGCAGGGAGGCTGCTGTAGAGCAGAGCGAGCCAGGGAAGAGTGGGAGGTGATGAGGTGGGAAAGGTGATGGAGAGAGAGGAACTCATCATGTAGACCATGGCATTAAATTTGTCATGGGAAGGCAGACCTTTATGGGTTAATCTGAAGATCCCACAAATGACGAAGTTGTGGGGTCATCCCAGCCGCATGTGAGAGCCACTGGGGACCAGAGTGGGAGGGAGGACATCTAGCAAAATCAGCTAGATTCCCCTGGGGAATCCCTTCCCTTGCTGCCTCTTCCTCCTGCTCTGCTTGAGATGTGTCCCCAGAGAAGCCAGGGCAGGTTGGGGTGACAGAGGAAAGTCAGGGCCTCTTTGTGGAGCCTTTCCGGCCCAGGCAAGGCTGGCTGCAAGTCTGAGGGCCTTGCAGCTGCCAGGACCTACAAGAGCACTAAAAACCACGGGCAGGCAGACAGAAGGATCTGGAGGCCCATTGAATCCCACTATGGAATCCTGTCGCTAGGTTTGTTTGGGATTTAATAAAGGGCCTGAAGCCCAGCTGTGGCGCCTTACCCACTTTCCATGCCACCCCCTCACCACCACCTTCTGCTTGTCTGACCTATCTAACTCACCAGCTCCCAGGCACCTGGCCTGAGTAAATGCGGGCCCAGGAGGGAGGCCTTATTTGTGGCCACAGGGCAACTCAAGGTCAAAGCCTCACAGTTCTGAGGCCCAGCTCGGGCTACCCTGGTACTCCGCGGACAGAAGCAGCTTTCTGTGTCCATCACTGTGGGGCTAGCCACAGCCTAGAAGGGACTGCTCCCTGCAGCCCCAGCGAGGCACTGTGAGCAGAGCACAAGCCCTGCAGGGGAGGCTGAAGCCAGTGAGGTCTGGGCTTGAGTGTCTTCTCCTCTGCTTACTAGCTGTGTGACCCTGGAGAAGTGTCTTGACATTCCTGAGCACACACACACACACACACACCCCATTCTTTTATTTGTAACTTGAGCATGATGAGACTTCTCTCTCGGCATTGCTGTGAGGATGTCAGGGAAAGCCTTGTTCCCTCCCAGGGAGAAGCCCAGCCAGCGCCGGATGCTGCAGGGGCCTCTGGAGCCAGAATCTCTGGGTTCCCACCCTAGCCCTGCCACTTACCAGCTGTGTGGCTGTGGGTAAGTTACTTGACCTCTCTGTGCCTCATTTTTCCAGCTGCAACATGGGATTAGTAACAGCCCTCCTTCATAGGGTTGCTATGAAGATGAAAAGAGTTCATTTACTGAAAGCATTTAGGCTACTGCCTGGTGCAGACTGTTAACCCCAACCACAGCGTAACTCCAGGGGGCGCCCCATACTGCACCCCTCCTCCCCCCGCAACTGTTTTGTTCTCCTCCCACTGCCCTCCCTGGAGAGGGGGTGGATGGCTGGGGTGGGGAGATGGGGTTGCAGCTGGACAGCCCCCGGGACTGGGTCCCCAGGGCAGACCTTGGCAGGCCCGTCCCTGAATTGAGACTGCCCCAGCAGCCATCGATCGCAGAGCCATGGAGGTGGTGAACCAGACGGCGCTTTTAACAGCTTTTTAATGTGATGGAGCTCACTGGGCTTGGAAAGCAGAGGCACGCCAGGAGAGGCCCGGGAAGCTTTCAAGGTCAGCCGGCGTCAGCCTGACCTTGAAGCCTGTCCCCTCCTGGGGAACAACCCAGCCCGGTGCCAGGAGCGCAAGCCCAGGGGTTTCTGGGACTGGGACCTGGGAGTTGCTCTGTTGTCAAGGAGGCCCTGGGGGCCGGAGCTGAGGACAAGTGCTTAGAAAAATAGCCATGAGGGTTAAATGGATTAAAGAGGCAGGTGGCCAGGACTAGGAGCAAAGCCCAGCCAGGGACAGGAGCAGGGGAGACCTTCCTCCCCAGTGCTGTGTTGGTTTCCTCTTCCTCCAGGAGCAGAGAGGCTGGGAAGAGAAACGACTTCCCCTTCATCTCCCCTCCTTCTCACAGGCCCCTCAGCAGGACAGCGCTGCTGCCTTTGTCCTACAGATTAATAAAACTTAGGGTCGGCTCCCTGAGAGATGGCTCAATTATCAGCTCCCCTCGAAGAGAGCCAGTCCAGCCTGGCAGCAGGAATTCGGCCCTGCGATGTGGAGCCACCACCAGGGCCCGCCCCCCCTCCCCCCCCCCAGCACAGCACCTCAACTGTCACCGCGCTCCCTGGGGCCCGAAGGAGGCCTGTCAAGGCCAGACCTCAGCCTCTCCCCAGCTGGGCTCTCTTGTTGGCCATTGGCCTCAGCTCCCATGTGTGTGCTGAGCACTTCACAGCTCACTCACGCTGCTCCCATGATGCTCTGGAAGGTAGGGATGGTCCTAAGTCCGTTCACAGACAAGGAAACTGAGGCACGGGAGGTGGGATGGCCTGCTTAGAGACCCTGGGCCAGGAGGCACGGGAGAGAGGAGCTGGAATTCAAATCCAAGGGCTGGTTCCCAGACCAGAGCCCCCTGTAGCCTGCCTTCCGGAGAGGAATGGGTAGCCCTCTCAGCAGTGGGTCAGGTTCCCAGCGACCAGCTGGGCTCTCCAGCAGCCAGGCCACCAAGGGGACCCAAGGGAGAACAAGAGCAGGGGCGGCTCCCTCCCAACCCCCTTCTGCCCAGAGCCTGGGCGACAGGCCAGGGCACAGTGGGGAAGGAGGGCCAGGCCCCTTCCAGAACAAGTCATGGGAAACTCAGGGCTTCAAGCATCCCTGGGTGTCCACCCCTCCCCAGCGAAGCCCAAAGGGATGAGGGGATCTCAAGTCCTGTGGACAGCTCCTTGAGCTGGGAACCAGGCTGTTTCATTTCAGTCCCCGCCCTGCTGTGGGCTAGGAGGGGCTTGGACCAGTTCCTGCCCATCTCTGCCCTTAATTTCCCCACCTGTGAAGTAGGAGAAGACCCCTCCGGCTCCCATGCTGGAGGAGGGGGCCATCTACTCACTCTTACCCGGCCCAGGTGATACAGAGGCTGCAGGAGCAGAGCCCATGGCCCACGGCGTGGGAATTCTGGGACTAGGGTCTTGGCGGCGGCTGTGAGCTGTCGGCAGAACCCAAACTTTCCCACAGAAGCAGCTCAGCCCCCAGAGCAGGCCCCACAGTTCCCACTGCAGAACTTCCAAGTGGAAACCACAGTGCGTGCAGAAGCCAGGCAGAAAATAAACAGAAAGCGATGTCCCTAGGACCTCGGGGCCCTGGGCCCAGCCCTGAGGCAGCCCCATGGAAGGCAGCTATGACCAGAGCAGATTCCTGCCGAGCCTGTCTGGACTGGCCTGGCCTGGGGCCCTGAGCGGGGTGGGGAAGGAAGCTGGGGCTCCTGCTAAGGGCCAAGGGGTTGGGGAGAGCACCAGGAGCTGGAAAGCACCAGGGCTGGGTGCCAAGAGATGGCGATCTGGTCTGAGCCTCTGCTGACTCGCTGGCTGGGGCACCAAGCCTCACTGTCCACATCTGAACAACGGACGCAGCACATCTGCTGCTTTCTCAGGCCCTTCCCAAGTGCTGGGAGGGTGACCTAGAACATGGCACAAGAAGGGAGAAGAAAGGGGGCCACCCCAGGGGCTCTATCAGAAGGGCCCTGCTCTAGCTGTTTTGGCCAGACCTCCCCGCCGCATACAGTTTACAGATGAGGAGACCTTACCCAGGCCCGCCGCACAGACACAGGAGCTGGGCTCCAAGCTCTGCCTGCAAGACCCTGAGCCCAGGGCCCTTAAGAAGGAGACTCAGGCAGGCCCTGGCAAGGCCAGGCTAGGGGTGGGGAGGGCACGGGATGTGGGCAGGCTGTCCCCAACCTCTCCTCCCCCTCTCCCCAGCTTTTTATCACAGTGCCTGGCCTGGCCTCTAGCTTGGGGCCCCTGTCAGGTGGAGGAGGAGGCGAAGCAGGACAGGGAAGCAGCTGATCTGCAGGACTTGATCCCCTGGGGTGGTGAGCACAGGGAGTGGGGCAGGCCTCCGTCCACCTTCCCCCATCCCCCACCACTGACATGGGTCCAGGGCCTCCAAGGGACATACCAGGGACCGCCTTCTGAGCAGCGCCGTCCCAGCAAGTGTCCCTCAAGTGGACAACAATGTTCTTGTCTCTCAGTCATCCTGTCTCAGAGGACACTCATTCCCCCTTGACTGCGGGGAAGACGAGACTTGCCCATTTCGCAGAGCTTGTGAGTGAAGCCCGAGGTTCAGATTCTGGCTTTCTGACTCCGAGTTCAGGAGTCAAAATGTCTCCCCTAACCTGCCCCCCTTAGCCCAGCCTTTCAGAGAGGGAAGCACGGCCCTCTTCAGACAGCTTCGGGGGGTGTCTGCTTCGGCGCCCAGCTCGGGCCCAGCAGGCACGGAGAATGAGCTCACCTGGCTGTCTTCCCTCTCTCTGCGGCCAATCGCGGTGTTAGCCCCCATCCGCACGGCCCTCCTCCCCCTCTCCAGCCCCCTCGCAAGGTCCTCCACCCAAGCGGCTGTGTTTCCCGATGAATGCCAAGTGTCTCTACCCTAGAGTCACAGAGCGGGTTCCCTGCCACTGGCACTGGGCTAAAGCCAGGCTGCAATCTGAGAAGCCTGGTGAGGGCCTCTCTCTGCCTCACAGACTCCCCTTCCACCCAGGACTCAAAGCACACTCGCTGGGCCCCAAGGCTCTTGGCCTCTCTGCCTGTGGTCTCCCTTGGCACAGGGCTTGGACACACATCCCTGAAACTGCTTAAGGGCCACCCATACTCCACCCAGACCCAGACTACCCCCACTCCAGCCCTGCCCAGGTGGCTCTCTTGAGGGCCTGCAAAAGCCATCCCACTTCTCCCCTAGAAAAAGACCCTCATGCAAAAAGATTTCTGTCGACAGTCTGGATGACCCATGACACAGGCCCAGACCTATCAGAATCCCTCATTTGGGATCTACTGATAACTACCCCCACCCACCCACCATCCCTGTCCAGATGCAAAAGGCTCTTGGGAAAGTTCTCACCTCAGCCTGCGCCCCTCACCAGGACCCTCTTCCGGGGCTGGGACAGGAGGAAGAGGCATTGCAGAGAGTAGAAGGACCCGGGCCTTGCCACTAGCCCGTGACTGAGCCCTGGACCAGGAGGCTGGGTTCTGTTCTCAGCTCTGCTGCCGACTTGCTTTGTGACAGTGGGCAAGATGCCTGCTCTGTTTGAGCCTCAGGCTCTTGTCTGGGCAATGGGAGTGTGAACCGGTCCTCCTTGGATTTTAGGATTTCTGTGAGACCCCTCCGGCCCCCCTACCTGGGCTCAGATCTCTTCAGGGCATCTCTTCCCGCCTACCTCTGCCCCCCTTCCTCAGAGGCACTCCTTCTTGGGCCCCTCCATGGCCCACATACCCCCCTCTCTAGGGAGGCTGCCACCAGCCGCTCTTATTTCCAGCCACAGCCCCTGCCGCCTGCGACTCAGGGCCTACGGCAGCCCACGTGGCCTTGTGGACACACGGAAGCGTGGCCACACAGCCACAGAACTGAGCACAGAGCCCTTCTCCCTGCTGAGCAGGCTAAAGCCTTAATCCCCTTACACAAAGCCCACTGAATCCTTCCTGGGGGGGAAGGCGGTGGGGGCACAAATTGGCTTATTCTACTGATCCAGAGAGAGGCTTGCTCCCATGAGGACCAGCAGATCCATCCCTGCGTGCAGCTGCCAGTGTGCTCTTGCCAACACTCCGGCTTGCTGCCCCTCCCCCAATGCCCGGGCCTCCAGGGGTCCTTGTACTGTCAGGGATATGGAGACTCCCCAGGGGCCTTCCCCCCCACCCCCCCGCCCCGGTCCTTCCAGGAGAACTGCTGTGAGCAGACAGGGCTGAGATGCCAAGTTCCTAAATAGACCTGATGGGTTAGCCCAGGGATGGAGTGTCTGGTGTGAACTGCTAAGCAAGGCACAGAGGGGATGAGAAATTATACACAGCCTGGAAAACAGTGAAATGGGGTAAGTTTCTCTGCATTCCCTTCACCCACTTTCCATAGCCCTATCCATGGACTCTCCTGGCCAGAAGGAAAAATATTCATTTATTTGTTTATTTATTTATTTATTTAAGATTTTATTTAGTTGTCAGAGAGAGAGCACAAACAGGGGGAGCGGCAGGCAGAGGGAGAGGGAGAAGCAGGCTCCCCACTGAGCAGGGAGCCCGATGCGGAGCTCAATCCCAGGATCCTGAGACCATGACCCGAGCCGAAGGCAGACGCTTAACCTACAGAGCAACCCAGGAGCCCCTAGAAGAAAAAAATATTGGTAAACTCCCTTACAATAAAATTTCGGACCAGCTAGAGCTCAGGTAGCCTCAGAAGAAGAGACAGTTAATGGTGGAAACTCGGACATTTTTAGAAGAGATCATTTGGATCAGGAAGCTTTTCTGGTATTCTTAAAAGCCCACGGTTATATGTCCACCCCTGTATGTGAGTGAGGTCGAGGGCAGAGTTATCTCCAGAGGGAGACAGGTGGTACCATGAAAACACAGGTCCCCACAAAGACTTACACAAGCATATCCATAGCCGGCTTATTCATAATAACCAAAAGCTAGAAACACCCCCGAATTCCATCAACAGGTGACCAGATAAAGTGGTACAATGAAATACTCCTCAGCCATCAAAAGGAACGAACTGCTGATACATGCAGCTACATGAAGGAATCTCAAAGTAATCATGCTGCGTGAAAGCAGAGAGGCAAAAAAAAAAAAAAAAAAAAAGGTCCATATGGAATGATTCCATCTATGTGAAAATCCAGAACAAGCAAAACTAATCGTGGTGATAGAAATCAGAGCAGCGTTCGGCTGCCTCAGGGTAGGAGGAGGGGATGACGGGAAGGAGGTGTGAGAGATGGGTTTCCACCTTGGTGTGGGTGGTGGGCTTTGGCACAATTGCCAAAACCTATCAAACTGTACACCTCAGGCTTTATGCAAAGTGTCCATCAGTAAATAAGTATGTAAATAGTAATACAAACACGACAAATGGTATCATTCAGTCAGTTACTTAAATCTTTATTTTGAAATAATTGTAAATTTATAGAAAAGTTTCAAGACCAGCACAAAGAACTCCCATTTATCCTTCACACCATTTACCAACAATTAACAGTTTACTACATCCGTTTTACCATTCTTTTCCGCTCCCCACTCTCTGTATGTTTGTATAAATATATGTAATGTTTTTATGTAATTATATACATATGGGTTTCTTTTTTCTGAGCCATTTGAGAGTAACCTGGCTGCTTTCATTTAACCTAATTATCTTGGATTTTTTTTTTAAGTAATCTCTACACCCAACATGGGGCTTGAACTCATTCCCAGATCAAATCGCATGCTCTACCAACTGAGCCAGCCAGGCGCCACTCAGCATAATTATTTGGGGTTCATCTATTTAGTTGTATGTATCAGTAGTTCATTCTTTTATATGGCTGAGTAGTATTTCATTGTATCGACATACCACTGTTTATCCCGTCCCCATGTTGGGGTTGTTTCTAGTTTTGGGTTGTTATGAGTTAGTCTGTTATGCATATTACCCCAAAATATTTCAGTGCGTATTTCCCAAGAACGAGGATAAATTTTTTTGTTTCTGTTACCAAAATTGGGATGTTAACATTGATTAAATATTATTATCTAATCTATAGACCTTCTTACTCAAATTTTGTCAATGGTGCCAACAATATCCTTTATTGAAAAACTTTTATTTTTTCCTGGTCCAGGATTTGATGTAGGATCACAAGTTGGCTTGGGTTGTTATGTTTTCGTATCTCATTTGATTTGGAGTCGCTCCTCAGCCTTTGTCTTTTCATGAGCTTGACAGTTTTAAAAAGACAGGCTGGTTGTTTCAATGAATATTCTTCGGTTTAGGATTGTCTGATGTTTCTTCATGATTAGATTCAGGTTATTGATTTTTGGCAGGATTATCACAGAAGTGACATTGTGTCCTTGGTGTATCATCTCAGGAGTATACACTGCCTCTTTGTCTATTACTAGTGATACTCACTTGGATCGTGGTGAAGGTGGAGTCTACCACTCTTGTGACTGTTTCCCATTTGTATTAATAAGTACTTGGGGGGAGTCACCTGAGATTATATAAATATCCTGTTCTCCATCAAACTTTTTACCCACTAATTGTCATATCCATTGATGATTCTTGCCAAAATCAGTTATTACTATGATGGTGGCCAAATGTAATTTTCAAACCCCATAATTCCCTAACTAATAAATAAGGTATTTATTAGTTTCAGTTTCAGTTTCACCATAAGGAAGAGCTTTCTCTCCCCCCATGTATTTTGGGATTTCGTGGGAGCTAGTTACATGAGGGTGTTAAACTAAGTAGTTTTGCCTGGTTTGAATACTATATATAGTGGGTTCATTTAATATATACTCTTTGGTGGATGCTGCTTTTGCTCAACATTATGTTTGTGCCACTTATTCCTGTGGTTGTGTGTAGTTATAGTTTGATCATTCGTATTGCTATTTAGTATTCCGTTGTATAAACGTATCACAATATTTTTGTCCATTATATTATTGATGGGCATTTGGGTATTTCCAGGTTTTCGGCTTTATGGATAGTGCTACTATGAACGTTCTAGTACCTAAGAGTGGATTTGCTTGTTATAGGGTTTGTGTATGTTCAGTTTTAGTGTATGTGTTACATAACTTTCACAAAGTGCTACTACACCAATGGACATTCTCATTCAGTCTTGTATAAGGGTTTTAGTTGCTCAATGACACTGGATTCTGTTTTGGTTTTTTATTACATCCTCACCAACATTTGATTTTTTGGTCTGTCTTATTTATTTCAGCCATGCTGGTGTGTGTGTGTGTGTGTGTGTGTGTGTGTGGTATTAGAATTTTAATCTGTATTTCCTTGATGAACAAATAGCATTTTCCCCAGTATCACCACACAATTGGCCCCATTCTGAGAAGCAGCCTGGTGTGATAAAGGGGCTCTGGCCTTGGAATCAGAAGACGTGACTCTGCCCACCCTGATTGGCTGAGTTGTGTGACTTTGACTGAGCTAAGCCTCAATTTTCTCCTCTGGACAATGGGAATAAAGCCCCCTGTCCTGCTTTTGCAGCAGGCACACAGTGGCATAGGAAGTGCTGGAGCCCCCAGGCCTCTTTCTGCCAAGCCTGTCTCCCTACCTCATGGGCACACGTCTGTACATACGACGGGGTATCCTCACCCACACGCCAGTCTTCTCCCTGCTTCTGCCCCGCATCTCTTCCCTCCTTCAACAACATCTGAGGCTTTCTCCACCAGAAGCTTTCCCTGACTGTCTCCATCTTTCTTCTCTATCACCGAGGCAAAGCCTGGACAAAAAAGCAATGGATGGGCCCAGGAGAATGGTCATGGGCATTTGGCTTGGTCCGTTGCTGTGTGATCGGAGGCTGGGTTCTAGAAGGAAGTGGGCAGAGGCATCACCTGCAGCATCTCTGGGGCACTTTGCAAGCTGCTGTTTCAGGGCTCTTTTGGGCAGTGCCGGATGAGATCATCCAAGCAGTTCAGCAGATGGGAGATAGACGCACTGTCTTTACATATTGAGAATGGCCAAAGGGAGGAGCAAATAGCCGCCAAGCTGCCTGTGCGCCAAGGACAAAAGCATAGAATCCCTGGGGGAGCTCTGGAACTCCCCCCGGGATCCCATGGGAGCAGTGCAGCCCCGCTTTTCCAACCTTCGGTACTGCTCTGATCTGGGCAAGGCTTGGGTTTAGAAGCCCAGCTCTCATTCTCTCCAAGGAGACGTTGAGCTGTGGCCCTGTGCAAGCCACTGGGCGAGGCTCTGTGGCGAGTGTCCTGGAGATGGCTCAGGCGTGGACCCTGCCACCAGGTGCCTGGAGCCTATGGGGAAACATAGACACAAACGACTGCAAAGTGTATTCCGGGAGAGCCCCAGATGGCCTCTAACAAGAAGGCTGATAAGTAATGGGGATAAGCCGAGGGTGAGGGAAGGTGTTCCAGACCCAGGTTACGGCCTGGGCACAGACACAGAGCAGAGGGCCTGGGGCAGTTTCATGGCATGAATGATGAGGGCAGAAGGGGCTAGATCACTAAGGGCCTTGAGAACCTGGCTGACGAGGTGGAATTTTATCCCGTGGGTAATGGCTGGGGAGCCACTGGTGCTTTTGAGAGAGGTTGGGATGGGGTGATAGAATCAGAGTTGATCACAGATGCTCACCTGTGGAAGGCTGAGCCCACAGGGTCTCCCCGGCCGACTTCTACCATTTGGACTCCCTTCCTTAGGGAACCGAAGACTTTTTCAGCTCCAAGAGCTCCCGCCAAAGTAAAAACTCTGGATGCCAGTTCACACTGTGTTGGGACTAGCTGCTCAGCCCAAGATCCTTAGGAAGATCTGACTGCAGAGGGCAGGGCCAGACCACGTGTTTGTGAGGGGGGTGAAGGGATGGGGCGAAGGAAATATTTGCTAACCATCTACCAGTGCCAGACATTAGGCTAAGTGTTCTACGTTCAACATCTCAGTTACCGTGTGTAACAACTCTATTAGAAAGGCATTAGCCCCATTTTATAGATGAAGAAACTGAGTCTCAGGCAGGCTAAATTAGCCACATGGTACACAACTCTGTCCTGGAAGCCTGAGCCTGTTCTCACGTTCCAGGCCACAGGGTTAGAACTTTAGCAATAGAGGCTTGGGGCGGGCAGTGATTAGCTGCTGCGGCTACGTTTACACCCTGCCCTCGCTCCCGTCCCTCTAGTCTGCAGAGCCCTCTGCAGCCAGAAGGGCCTTTAAAAATGCAGTGTGGGGGCTCGTGGGTGGCTCAGTCAGTTAAGCATCTGACTTTGGCTCAGGTCACGACCTCAGGGTCCTGGGATGGAGCCTGAGTGGGGGTTGGGGGGATCAGTGCCCTGCGGGGAGTCTGCTTCTCCCTCTCCCTCTACCCCTCCGCACCCTCTTTCTTTCTCAAATAAATAAAATCTTTAAAAATAAAATAAGATATAATGCAGTGTGATCATGTCACTTCCTGCTTACACCACTTCGATGGCTTCCCATTGCTCTTGAGGGAAAATCCAAACTCCTTACAAGGAAAAAAATCCAAGCTCACTGCCAGGGCCTGGGACCAGGGCCAGCCTGCCTCCCTTCCAGCCTCTTTCCGCAAGCCCTCCTATTCCCTCCCCATACCATACACTCTCCTCACATTTCAGCTCACTACCCTCCACATTTCTTTGTGTGTTTTTTTTTATAGGAAATATGGGTTTTATACAATTTACCATACACATCTTATGCTACACTTTGATTTTTTTCTTCAATTTTTAAAAAAGATTTTATTTATTTGACAGAGACACAAAGAGAGAGGGAACACAAGCAGGGGGAGTGGGGGAGGGAGAAGCAGGCTTCCCACCGAGCAGGGAGCCCCATGTGGGGCTCGATCCCAGGACCCTGGGATCATGACCTGAGCCGAAGGCAGACACTTAATGACCGAGCCACCCAGGCGCCCCGTCCAATTTTTTATTGCAGTATAATAGTTAACATAACGTTTACTATGGTGGCCATTTCTGAGCGTACAGTTCAGTGGTATTAAATACATTCCTAATGTTGTAGGACCATCACCACCACCCACATGCAGGACTCTTTCATCAGGTAAAACTGAAACCATGTACCCATTAATCAGTACCTCCTCCTTTGCCTGAACCCCCCAGACCCTGGCAGCAATCATTCTACTTTCTGTCTCTCTGTGACTGCTCTAGGCACCTCATCTAAGTGGAATCAAGCAGTATTTGTCTTGCATGACGGGCTTATTTCATTTAGCATCATGACCTTAAGATTTCATCCAGACTAGAATAGGGATGGCAGAATTGCTTTCCTTTTAAAGCTGAATAATAGTCCCCTCTACATGCATACCGGTTGCTCTTCCGCTCATCGGTCAGTGCACGCGTGGGTTGTTTCTACATTTTCGGTTTGATTTTTACACACGTGAGCACCCTTGTGTACGACTCAGACTGAGACAGAGAACATTTGGGTACCCCTGAAGTCTCCCTCATGCTCCTTTCAGGCAGACCTCCCACTCCATCATTTGACAAACTGCACTGTAGATCAGCTTTTTGTGTTCTTGACCTTCATAGACATGAAATCATATACTGCGTGTTCTTTTGTGTCTGGATGCTTTTGTTCAACATTATGTCTGTGAAACTCATCCATTCTGTTATGTGTGTTAGTATTTTGTTCATTCTTGTTGCTGTGTAGTATTTCATTGTACAAAGACACCCTATGTATACATTCCACTGGTAATGGGCATTTGGGTAGTGCTATGGGCTGAATTGTATGTCCCCCAAATTCATGGGTTGAAGCCCTAGCCCCGGTGTGACTGTATTTGGAAATTGGGCCTCTAAGGAGGTAACTAAGGTTAAATGAGACCACGAGGGTGGGGCCCTAATCCAACAGGACTGGTGTCCTTATAAGAAGAGGAAAAGACACGAGGAGTGCTAGCACATCGAGATGAGGCCCCCAGGATAGCAAGAAGGCAGCCACCTGCAAGCTAAGGTGTTATGCTTATGTTAATATGGACTAATGGATTCTATCACTATTTATTCTGATGCTCAAATTGTCCCAGCCACCCGCAAGCTAAGGAGAGAGGTCTCATCAGAAACCAACCCTACTGGTACCTTGATCTTGGACTTCCAGCTCCAGAACTGTGAGAAAACAAATGTCTGTTGCTGAAGCCCCTCGGTCTGTGGTTTCTGTTATGGCAGCCTGAGCAGACTGACCACAGGTAGTTCTTAACCACAGGGGCTATGACAAATACGCTGCTATCGATATTCTTCTACATGACTTTTGGTAGACATAAGCACTTATGTCTATTTAGTATGTCCCCAGGAGTGGGACACACAGGAGATATATTGGTAGAAAAAAGGAAGAAAGAAAAAGAGAGAGAGAGAGAAGAAGAAGAAGAAAGAAATTATTTTGGAACCATTTGAGAATAAGTTAGGGCATACACTCTCTCACCAAAACCACATTACAACCAGTGAAATCAGGGCACTATGTTACTACTGTCTAATCAATGGACCCAATTCAATTTTGCCAATGATCCCAATCATTGCCCTTCATATCCAAAGGGTCCAATCCATGCTCACGTGTTACACTTAGTTGTCCCGCTTCCTTAGCCTCCTGCAGTTTGAGGCAGTTCCTCAATCTTTCCTTTCCTGACTCTGACACTCATGAAGATTACAGTCTGGTTGTTTTGTAGAATGTCCCTCAATTTGAGTTTATCTGATGTTACTCGTTTTTGGCAGGAATAGCACAGAAGGGACACTGTGTGCTTCCCATGCATCCTAACATCTTGTACACAGTCAATATGTCCCACTACTGGGGATGTTAACTTTTAACACTTGGTTAAGATGCTGTCTGCTGGGCTTCTTCACTGTTAAATTAATAAGTATAATGCACTTATCAATTTATAAGTAATTAATAAATATTTTGCAGGAAGAGAGTTTGAGATTGTGTAAATATCGTCTTTCTCATGAAAATTTCACCCAACAGTTTCAGCATCCATGGATGATTCTTGCCTATTTCTACAATGGTTGCAAAATAATGGTTTTCAGATTCCATGATTTTGTCTCTAGTTTTCAAGTGGCATTCTACTCTAAGGAAGAGCTTTCTGTTCTTCCCTTGTGTCTAGTCATTTACTTCTTCTTTTTTTAAGATTTTATTTTTAAGTAATCTCTACACCCAACATGGGGCTCTAACTCACAACCCTGAGAACAAGAGTCGCATCAACTGAACCAGCCAGGCACCCTATTCATTTACTTCTTTATGTTAATATGGACCAATGGATTCTATCACTATTTATTCTGATGCTCAAATTGTCCCAGACTTGGCCATCAGAAGCCTTTCGAGTTGACTGTTGTGTCCTCTAAGAACATATTTTTAATTGTGATAAAATACACATAAGATAAAAACCGATCGGCTTAAACATTTCAGTGTGTGGTTTTAGTGGCATCGATGACATTGGCATTGTGACGTCATATCACCACCATCCATCTCCAGATTCTTTTCATCTTACAAAATTGAAGCTCTGTACCCTTTAAACAATAGCTCCCTATTGGTCACTCCCTCAGTCCCTGGCAACCACCCTTATTCTGTGTCTATGAATTGGACTCCTCGGCACCTCACAGAAGTGAAATCGTTCAGTATTTGTCCTTTTGTGACTAACCTATTTCACTTAGCATATTGTCTTTGAGGTTTATCCATGTTGCAGCATATGTGAGGATGTCCTTCTTTTTAAGGCTGAATAATATCCAGTTATATGCACAGACCTCATTTTCTGTCCATGGGACACCGAGGTTGCTTCCACCTTTTGGCTGTTGTGGATAATGTTGCTAGGAACATGAGCATACTTTGAGTTTCTTTGAGTCCTGCTTTTAATGCTGTTGGGTAGCTACCTGGAAGTGAAACTGCTGGATCATATAGTAATTCTATTTTCAATTTTTTGAGGAACCACCATACTGCTTTCCATAGTGACCACACCAACAGTGGAAAAGTGTTCCAATTTCTTCAATCCTTGCCAACACTCATTATTTCCTGTTTTTTGATAATAGCCATCCTAATTCATGTGAGGTGGTATCTCATTATGGTTTTGATTTGTATTTCCCTAATGATTACTGATGTTGAACATTTTTTCCCTATGCTTATTGGCTGTTTGTATGTCTTCTCTTTTTAAGATTTTATTTATTTATTTATTTATTTATTTATTTATTTATTTATTTATTTATTTATTTATGAGGGATTGAGCACAAGCAGGGGGAGCGGCAGGCAGAGGGAGAAGCAGACTCCCCGCTGAGCAGGGACCCTGACGTGGGGCTCGATCCCAGGGCCCTGGGATCATGACCTGAGCTGAAGGCAGACGCCTAACTGCCTGAGCCACACAGACATCTCAGCTGTTTGTATATCTTCTTTGAAGTAATATCTATTCAAGTCCTCTGCCTGTATTTTAACTGGGTCGTTTGATTTTTTGTCATTGTGTGTAGGAATTCTTTATATATTCTGGATAGTATCTTGTCTCCTGTCGACATGTCTCCATCATTCTCTGACTGCTTTCTGTCTGAAATGATAAGATGTTTCAGAGGGTCTACTTCTCCTGACCCAGCCCTGGCATCAGCCCTTTTTCCAAAGAGCCCTGGTTCCTTTTAGTGGAGAATGGCATTTACAAACAGATTTGGCTTCTAGATTTGCTCATTGCTTTTGGGGGGGCTTGTCTTCCCGGGCCCTGTTAGTGGTCAGAGCTATAGTATGGGTACATATGTATATATATTTATACATATTTCTATATCAATATATTGAAAACCATAAGTCACATCAATACCTCTATTTCCAACCCACCACCACAGGATTCATTCTAGCTTCTTCCCTTTCCATGTTTGCACCTTCCTTCTCCAACAGTGAGAAATCTGGCTCCCACCATCCTCGATGAGTTTACTTATTGCTTGATCCCTTTGTAAGTAGCCAATCTCTTGACCTCGTGGCCACCACTTCACTTGGCCATCTCCCTGCTCCATGCCAACCCTCTTGCTGCCTTCAGTATGTATTGGGGAAGGGGAAGGAGACCTAATGGCTTTGGAGTGAATTATTCAATTATTCAGGGAGGAAGGAAGCAAGTAAGCAAGGGCGGTGCTGGGTTTTGTAGAGTGTGTGGACAGCTTCTCTGCATTTCTGTCCTACGTAATTGGCTGAAAGCTCAGGGACTTGCCTTTAATGGCCCCCAGGGCTGTGACTTCTGCTTCCTGGGAAGCTCCTGGGCAGGACCCTGGTGCAGGGATGCACACCAGCCCCCAATGAGCCAGTCTGTTCTGGCTCCACACTTGTAAGCCTAGACGCCTGCTGGAGGCAGCCTTGCCATGCTGGGCCCGCCCAGCACTTGAACCCTACCCAGAGACCCTGCACCTGGCGAGGTTAGGCATGATGCTGGGGCCTTGGGCCTCCCCACGCCAGCCTGGGGAACCTGGGCAGGTCTGTCCAAGGTCAGGCTGGAAATTGGAAGAGATTCATAACTGATGTAGAAGCTCTTAGCTGAGAGCAACCTCCTTACCCCCAATACATTTAAGCTGCATTTTAGCAAATGAGTTAGAGGTTTCCCTTCATCTCAGCCACTGGAGTCGGAGGGGTTTTGCCTGCCACTGTGTTCCAGGCCTTCCACCCACTCAGGGCCATCCAAGAAGGGGACCGGCGTCTCTGTCCAAATGAAGCCTGGGCTTAGGTGCAGCACTGGGTTTCGGCCATGCTTGGGTAGCCAGGCGACAAGAGCTCGGCCTGCCTCCCAGCCTCGGGAGGCCTTAGGAACATGGCCCGGTGCGGGTGCGGAGGCTAATGTGTCCCCCTGGTTCTCCCACCTGTGCAGGTGACCCCATCCTGCTCTTAGAAACCCATGCCCCCCTGCGGCTCTATAGTGATGGAGGTCAACCCAATTCAGAGTGCTTGAACCGAGAGGTATTTCCAGAGTGACTGCCACATAGGTGGGCCTGGACTGGATGCTGGGGAATCGGACTGATTTCTACCCTGGGAGCCTGAACGAACTGCTGTCACGTTCAGCAAAGGGTGTCTGCAGCCGCAGGAGGCCCAGCTGGAGCACCATGTGTATTCAGAGGAAGGAGTCATTCTGTCTGGTCATGGGATGGCTTCATGTTGAGGGAGGTGGAGAGGAAGAAAGCCCATGGCTCTTGGAGGTGAAGTGCACAGCTCTTTACAGTGTATAATGCATGTCAGTATGTATGATCGTTCCCAAGAGCAGTTGGGGAAGTGGAAAGTGGAAACTGCTGTATCCCTGATGGAGGGCACAGGCCTGGCTGATGGGAGGTACACCGTTCATCTGTGCTAAGTGAACAAACGGGTCCCAGGGGCAGAGGAAGATCTCTACTTAGGAGCCCTAAGTCCGGAAAAGAATAAGGTACCCCCCACTTCTCATGTGCAAATTATAATAAAGCTAGTCCTAAACCACAAAATAAGAGTAAGGAAGTCCTACAATGGTCTTTTTCCATTATGACTCTGAGATGATTTTTTTAAATGAATGATTTCTCCAAAACTTCTCATTTGGGTGTGCCCCTGCTTTGCTGGTGCCCAGGCAACTACAGGGCCTGGCCCACCCCGTCCTAGCTTGGTGCCTTTACCTCTTACGGACACCGGCATGGACTCCCGGCAACAGGACCTGGGAGGCGCAGAAAGCTCCTAGCCGTGGGGGCCGGCGGGCCTGGATCTGAACATGACACCACTGCTTAGCAGCCATGCCCATCCATTCAGATCAGACGCTCAAGTCTCCTTATCTGAATAAAGGGCTGGTCGTAGCTACATTGTGGGGCGGGGCAGGAGGGAAATGAAATAAGGCATGCAAAGGGCCTGGCGCAGGATCTGGTGCCCCTCAGGTGCTCACGAAGTCCCCAGCGGGTCCTCAGCTTTCTGCAGCTCTCACCAGAAGCGGACCCTGACAGCACAACCCTGGCAGCCGCTGCATCAGACGTGGAACAGCAGTGGCCAAGCCTGGGAGCCGGGGTCTTTTCCCACATGCAGGCTCAGTCTGAGTGCAAGGCCTGAGGTGGGCCCTCTGACCTGGGACCTGCCCCTCTCCTCTGGGCCATTCTGAGCAGTGTAGTCAGGAAGTGTGCACAATGGGCTTATTGTTATTCGAGTAAAACAGAAATAGCTTTGGAACTGGAGACAGTGGGGGTGGGGCGCCAGGGCTGGGTGGTACTGGCTTTTTTAGGGAAGCTTTTTCCTGAGGGAACTCAGACTCACAGAGGTGAGCTTTGGGTGGGCCGCCCAAAGGCACTCAACCTGCCCCTCCCTCCTTCTGCCTTCCCGCACCCAGCACCAGCCCCCACGCCTTCCCTCCTCAGTTCCCCCTGCCTTAGTCTGCCCCTGTGCCTTTAAGCCCTGTGTTGGAGGCCAGCCCCAGGCTTCCAGAACCACTCCGCCTGCACCCAGCACAGGAAGTGCCTGGAGATCTACCGCCCCCAAGGACCAGCAGTGCAGAGCTGTCAGCACCCCAGCTCCCTCGCCCGTGATTGGGACAACTCTGAGGTGTCCCTGGGCTTCCCATGGGATTGGGCCAAAGTCACCCTCTGTGCAACTTTGCTTGGTGCCACGCTCTGGCTCGACTTCCTTTTCTTTGCTTCCCTGTCCCACGTCCTCATTCTTCTGCTGTTCCCTTCTCCACGGAGCGCATCCTGATGGATCACTTTCACACGATCCTTCCCTCAGCCTGCAGCAGGGGAGCACCCCCCAGGCCCAGGGAAGGGAGATGTTGGGGAGAGGTCTGTCATGGGACTGGCTTCCCCAGAGCTGGTGTGTGCCCCGCCTGGCTGGCCTCTGTCCTCCCAGAGGGGGAGGGGCGGGAGGAGGAGGAGGAAGGGGCCTCTCTGCCTTTGTCCCTCGGCAGCCCTGGTGTGGAGGTGCCCACCAAGCTCGTGGCTGGTGTAGAGTGGGCACTGAACACATGCCCACGGAGGCCAAGCCTGGGATCTTTAGAACACTTCCTCCTGCAGCGACCACTCCCGCAGGGGCCTGGGGACCACTGCTCGGGGCGTCCAGCGGGTCACACCCATGCTACAGGTGGAAAATCAGAACACGGAGTGGGGGGGAGGGCACTCCACGTGGAGCTCTGCCTTGCAGTGGCCCTTCTCAAATCCTTGGCTCCCTTCCCAGGACTCCCACTTCGGGGGAAGAGAAGAATAAATTGTGTTCTAGATGTTCAGCAACAAAGGCAAAGTGGCTGAGTGGCGGTAAAGAATAGTAAGAAAGAGGAGGAATCAAGAGGGCAGGCTCCCGCTTCAGCCGGAAAGGAAGTGCAGGGACAAGAAACACCGTCTGGGCTCAGAGGCCAGTCCAGAGCTGAAGCCTGGCGGGAGAGGCACTCTCTGCCCTGCTCCATCGCACACCAACCACTGGCTCAGAGGGAAGCGATCCTGCAGGGGAGGGCGGATGCCCTGCTGTGAAGGACACCCTGACGCAAACGCGAACCCCTGGGATGTTCCTGAAACTTCTCCAGCACTTTCCAGAGAGGGTTTAGCCAGAATGGGAAGCAGGTTGTACATAGGGTTACTAGATAAAACACAGGACACCCAGTTAAATTTGAATCTCAGAAAACAGCAAGGAATTTTTTTTAGTATAAACTTGTCCCCAATATTGCATAAGATGTACTTATACTAAAAAATTATTCATTGTTTATCTGAAATTCAAACTTAACTGGGTGTCCTGTATTAATTAATTAACTAATTACTTTTTTTGGCTAACTCTAGCAACTGTAGGTGGAGGCCAAAATGGTGAAGAAACGGGACATTTATCCCAGCGGCTTGCAGACTCCGGGGGACAGGTGCCCTGGCTCTCAATTTCAGGAGAGCTGTCTTGGGAGCCAGTTAGAACCAGAAGACGGAAATGATTGCATTTGGAAATAGCAGCTCTATGGCCTGTTCAAGAAGAGAGCAAGTGTCAAGAAGGAGGTACGGGCCATCGCCGGCGTGGCTCCACCACCCGCTTCCGTGCAACCTCAGGCTTCTGCCTCCGAGCCTCGGAGCCCACAGGCCCTGCAGCAGCCTGCTTTGTGTCCTTATTCCCATCACGTTTCTCTAGCTGGTGAATCCAGAGGAGCTGTCCCGAGTTTCTGGAACAATGGCCTGGTGAGGATGCAGAGGCCAGTGTGTCTCCCCGGTTCTCCCGCCCGCGGCTGCGGAAGCCGAGGGTGTGCTGGTGCGCTGCAGAGCCCTAAGGCCTCGCCCACTGGGCTCACAGTGATGCGCAGACATGGTCCTGCTGGGCCCTCACTCCATCTGGCCGGGCGTCTGGGGCCCGGGCAGCCCTGAGCCCCTGCTTGGAGGGGAAATGCTTCTGAGCGGCCACTGGCTTCAGGAATCAGCCCCAGCAGAGGCTTCATCTTCACCCTGGCCCTGGAGGGCTCTTCCAGCATCAGCCCTGTTGGGGAGGACAAAGCCTCTGAGTAAACTTCCCAGCTGAGGCCTTGCTCAGTGTTCAGTGGCCTGACTCACGTGCCCTGTGCCAGGCCCCCCCCCAAACACGTAAGCCTCAACAATAACTGGGTGGAAATGTTCCAGGCCCTGTGGCTCTGTTGCCCCCATGGACACACGAGACAACAGAACTCTCAGAACTGCAGAGAACTTGCAGAAGCCAGTGAGTGGCAGGCTAGCACTTACCCCCAGTTCTAACCCCACCTGCGGGTTAGCGGCTTCCTCTGTCCCCTCCTCTGTCAGTACGCCCAGTTCTCTGCGTCCAGTTTCCCCCGAGGCCTCCAGGGCTTCCTGCCCAGAAGTCCTTCTTCCACCCTCGCCCTCAGACGCCCCTCCAGCACGGCACATCCTCGCAGGCCCACCTGCCACCCGGGACTCCTGGCATTGGCGCAGCAATCTCTAGTTTACAGGGCTTTTCCCCGGATATGAGGTCGTGTTGATTTCTCCACCTGAGACTCCAGCCCCAGTGGGGAGCACCTGGGCTTCTCGGGCAATTACCTCTGAGAGGCCAGAGGAAGCCCCCATGTGCAAGGAGTTCCTTGCAAAATGTCAGACTATTCCAAGTAAACAGAAACAGGCCCTGAGCCAGCTCAGCTGCAGCAGGGAGGATCCTGGAAACGAGGCCTCCCAGCCTGCAGCTCAGTGCTCCTCTCGCCTTGCAAACCTCATCCTACTTCTCAGCACCTGCATGGAAGGATGCCCTGCTCATTAGCTGCCTGAGGATCTGCAGAACCGAGAGCCCAGCTGCTTCTCCTCATTCCTCCTGGCCCCGGATGGCCAGTAGGCTACGTGTGCAGTCCCTCAGCTTCTTATTCCCACAGGGCTCCCACACTGATGCTGCAAAAGGCCCTGGCTGAGGACTCTTGGCCAGACTGAGACTCCTGACTCAGTTTCTCTTTAGTAAGTCTTTCCTTATCAAACTGTCTCTACATCCCCAGGGACCCATGTGCCCTGAATAGAGGTGGTTTTTGTAAGGTCCTGGCTTAGTGTAGAGTACCTGGTACTTTGAGCCCAAGACCTAAATTTAAGTCCTGGTCTGCTGCTTTTGACTTGTGTGCTTGTCAGGGTTGCCATAGACAGCTGCACAGGTTGTACACTACCTTGCTATTCAAAGTGGGGTCCATAGACCAGCAGCATCCATATCACTTGGGAGCTTGTTAAAAATACAGAATTTGGGTCCCACCTCAGATTGACTGAATCAAAATCTGTTTTAACAAGATCCCCAGGTGATTCAAACATTAAAGCTGGAGATCCGCTGACATGTGAGGATCCCAGGGAGCACCACGCCCCAGGCCATGGTGTGACCAGCACTCCTGGGATCATGTGACAAACTGGCCCTGCTCAGGCGAATCCGCTTTGGGTGTCACCTCCTGGCCGCCAAGTGGTGACAAGAATGTCTCTTCCTGAGAGGGGCTGTGTGTGAAATGGGGACCGAGCGGGGAGGCCTCGCCGGGCTGGTGCTCGAGCAGGCCCGGCTCAGGCTGAGCTCAGGGACTGTTGCCACGCTGACGGCTTTTAGGAGAAACGGGATCCTTATGTTTGGGAGCTAGAAAGAATTTCAGGGACTTCTCTGCTCAAGCGGATACCCAATTTTCACTCTATTTTCTAGGTGATGAAGTGGATGAAGGGGAGGTGGAGTAGCGGAATGAGGGAGGAGGGCTGCGCTGGAGTGGGAGCTGGGGCCTTGTCTGCCTCACTGCCCCCCACCCGCACCCCTCCTCCTCACCCCCCTCCCACTCAGCCCACCACCCTGTCTTCAACACCTCCTGGAGGTAAACTAGAGGGAACTTATATACAATTTGCTTCTTCCTTAAAAATAGAATACCTAAGTAAATAAACGGGCAGCTCTTTCTTAGGCTTAAAGAGAGGATGTCAGGACAGATGAGAGCATTGGAAAGGAGTATGTGGACACCTACTTTCTAAGTACTTACAGTGTTGCTAGGCCTTGTGCTGAGCCCCGGGTGCAAGATGAAGACACTGACCCGCCCTCACCTTGCTCCCAGTCTGGAAAGGACACATGACCTATGCTTCAGAAAAGCTAACAGTGAGGACGAGGCCCTGAGTGGGAAGTCCACTGACTTTATGTATTACTGGAGATGTTAAGAGAAGAATGAGAAGTCACTGGGTGAAGGAGATATGGAAGATTCTAGAAGATGCTGTATTGGAAAGGCCTGAGGGCAGGTAGGATTAAATGGAGAGGAATAGAGAGCAATAAGTACAAAACTGGAAATTGCAAGGTACATTTAGGGGGCAGGGGATGGCTTCATGCATCCAGAGCAGGGGTATAATCCACTGGGGCTGCTATCTATCATAAAATTCCACAGCTTGGGTGGCTTATAAACAACAGAAATCTATTTCTCACCGCTCTGGAGATGGGAAAATTCAAGATCCAGCCACTGGCAGATTCTGTGTCTGATGAAAGCCAGCATCCTAACCCAGAAATGGTCCTTTTCATTGTGTGCACACATGGCAGAAGGGGTGAGGGATCTTCTCTGGAGTCTCTTATAAAGACACTAATCCCAGGTTTCATCACACACACAAAAAGAACAACAAAAAGACTAATCCCTTCATGAGGGCTCCACTCTCATGACCTAATTACCTCCCAAAGGCCCCACCTTCTAATACCATCACACTGGGGGTTCGAATTTCAACATACGAATTTGGGGGGATATAAACATTCAGACCATAGCGAGAGGTCAGCAGTCTTCTTCTGTAGACATCCAGAGAGTAAATATTTTAGGCTCTGCAGGTCATATGTTCTCTGTTCCAAGGACTCAACGGTGCCATTGTAGCTGGAAAGCAACCATAAATAATAAAGTACACCAAGGAACATGGCTGTGTTCCAGTACAGCTTTGAAATTTGAATTTCATATAATTTTCATGTGTCACAAAATGTTATCCTTCTCTTGACTTTTTCCAACCATTTGAGGATCTAAAAATCATTCTTTGCTTATAGGCTGTACAAACACACGTGATGGGACAGACATGGCTGGTGGACTATAGTTTGCCCATTTCTGGTCTAGGGGCAGGATGGAAGGTAGGCTGGGGCCAGATCCTGTTGGGCATTGGATCCCAGGTTAAGGAATCATTTTCCAAGTCAGATGTAGGAAACCATGATATTTAGACTTCCCTAGATTGGAGCCCTCTTCCAAGGTACTTTCTTCCTAGATAAGTTGCTCCCAAGATCCCAGAAAGGGGGCCCATGATGTTGTGCCTTTTACTGAAAGGGGCAGGACAGGGAGGAAAGGTTTGGGGGATAAAACTGAGAATCACTGTTAGCCTTTGAAAGTCCTAGATACCTAAGAATCAGCTAAGTGATTAAATGAAATCACACAGGTTGTTAAATATTTGGATCTGGAGCTAAGAGCTGAAGATGGAGGTAATATTATAAACCATGGGAATCAACATGCCCATTCAGGAACGGAATGTAGAGAGGGAAGAGAATGGAGCCAAGGACAGAGCCCCGCAGCACTCTGTTCCTGGGGGTCAGCCGAGGACCAGCAGGGCCTGGAGAGGCAAGAGGGAATGGCAGACTTTGATGCCGGAAGCCAAGGGGAAAGGGTGAAGGAAGGAGTGAGCGGCCGGTGTGCCCAGCGCTGCTGAGCGCGGGGAGGGTGAGCCTGGAGCGTGTCTGGGGATCTGGTCATGGGCAGGTCTCTGGTGACCTTCCTTAAGAGCAGATCAATGTGAAGGTGGGCGTGGAAATCAGAGAGCGGAGGTGATGCAAACAATTCTTAGGAGACATTCTAACCTTTGCAAAAGGGATGAAATTAAGCATTCGTCATAGGAAGGGTGAGGGATTGAGTGAAACTCCACACACTTCTTTTGCGTGCCTACTGTGTCCCAGGCACCATGCCAGGCACTGAGGATACAAAGATGGGAAGGGGCAAGGCCCGAGGAACCGCACTCCAGTATGACTGGGGTCCAAATAGCCATAAACCACAAGCGGTGTTGGCGAAAGGAACAGCCGTGCATTCTCTGTTCAGGCAGCAGAAAAAGCATCTCAGGGGAGGTGTCATTGGCCTGGTGCTTGCAGCTGAGGAAGGATAGAGAAAAGGCCTGCCAAGCAATGGGAAAGAGGATTTCAAAAAGGCGCACTCGGGAAGGAGCAGGGGGTCTGGAGGACAGCAAGTGATCTGATGTGGCCTGATGGGTGGTGGGAATGACAGGACATGGGGTGTGGCAGGAGACGCTTTTGGAGATACTGGCCAGCCTGATGGAATGGTCCTTTGTACCTTGCTAAAGAGACTGAAGTTTGTCAAAGGGGGAACAAAGGGCAAACAGTGGTCCACCTGCTGTGTGCCAGGCACCGAGCTAGCCGCCCTTTGAACGTGGGTTTTGCAGTGTACGACAGACGTGGGTTCAAATCCTGCTTTTGCAAGGCATAATAGCTACCTGGCCTTGAGCCCTTTAAGCTAGCAAATCTCAGTTTCAACTGCAAAATGGGGAGGATAATGCTTATCATCTGGAATTATCACAAGGCGATAAAAGCAAAAGCGACTGTCAGAATGATTATTTAAATAGAGTGATCGTTGCAAGCTTAGATTTGCATTCTAGAAAGATTGCTCTTATAGTAGTAGGCAGGACAGACGGGGGAGCTAGGGATAGGACTGCGGGGAGACCAGAGCTACCAAGGCCAGTAGGAGCTACTGCAGAACTAGTTAATAAAGAAGAAAAGCAAACCCAAGAGCTATTGTTGGAGCCCAGGGGAGAGCTGAGGGCTGAGGGCCTTACAAAGGCCTGGCCTGGGGATGGCTGAATCTGGGGTGTTCTGTGAATGAGGAAGGTGGGGGCAGAGCCAGGAAGAGGGTTACGATCCAGGGAGAAGCGTGCGGGATGATTTCAGGTTCTCTAGCGTGAGTGGGCAGGGGAGCTCTTAACTGAGCCGGCAGACACAAGAGAAACTGTGGGTTTGGGACACTGTATCATTTTGGACAAATTGGGTTTGAGGATTCCGCAGAATGCCAGATGGGGAAGGCCTCAGAGAGCTGGTGCCAGAGACAAGGAACTGTGGATCCAGGAGGGACATCCTAGCTCCTGGAGAGGGAACACCAAGCCAAGGTCCAGATGGGGTGTGAGCAAGGGGGTGGGGGTGGGGCATACTCTGGAAGGTTCCTAAGAATCCAGGTTTTCGGTCAGGTGGAAATAATCCAAGATGTAATTCACACAGAACTTTACAGCCTATTTGAAACTGCATGGGCTTTGGGCATTTTGATCCAGATCCAGAGATTCAGAGATAGAAGGGAGCATCTAGTTTTTTTTTTTTTCTATGTTCAGTACCTTTTAGGGTCGGGCCCTGCGAATAAATAAATGGCAAGAAGAGAAAGCTGCTTCCTGAGAGGAGAATGCCCAGCAGTAAATGTAGCAGGAGTCCTAGATTTAGAACATCCCAGCAGCATGGTGAAGACACAGCCTTATCCGTGGACTTCACGGTCAGTACAGAATCTCCCCCGCCCCAGTTCTAGTGGAGAGAGGGTCGGGAGACGTCACCCGGCTTTCAAGCGGATATAGAAGTGGCCGGGTTGGGAGTCACAGCATCGAGGTCTTCGGAGAACCCACCCGAATGTTTTTGCACGATGTCATGGTGTACGGCAACGGCCTTCCAAGGTAGGTAGGGCCCAGTTAAATCCCCATTTTACAGCTGAGAAAACCGAGTCTCCAAGGGATGAAGAGACCCGCCCCCCGTCCCAGCAGCGCCAGCAAGAGAGCCCGGGTCTCCCTGCTCCAACCACAGCCAGGCTTTCTTTGGCCACCTGAGCTGGAGGAGGGCTGGTTGCGAGGGCTAGAGGGGCCTGGGGCCTGGACCCCACTGGGGGTGGCGGGAGGCCCCGCTTCAGGTTCAAGTGGCTCGTTTTGCGGGAGTGCAAAATTACCGCACAAGTCCCAGAGAATAAACAGAATTAACACCCCATGAAATACAATGGCCTTTCCCGGAGCTTCAGACAGGCCATGGGCCACGAGTGAAACGAGCCGAGCAGGACATGGCCCGGGAGGGAAATGTATCGCGCACACTGCCTGGACGCCTTCAACAAAGAAAAACCCCGCACGGGGAGAAGAAAGCGCCGGCAGCGGCTCTGCGGGCTCAGGGCTGAGGATCCAGTAATGAAGTCTTTCTGGAAGGTAAGAAAGGGCTGTATGCTGTGTGCTATTTTTAAACATGCTGGAGTAGCACATGTATCCCTGCCCCGTGCACTTTCTCCAGCAGAGGAGGGGCCCCGGGGGAATGCGGCCAGGAATTTAGATGCTATTTATCGTATTTCCTTTTATCAGTCAAATGATTTTCCTATTTCCCACATAGATAAAGATCTTTTGCTTACAGCTCCAGCTTGTTGACCTTGTCAGGACCGCTGTGCAGTCTGGAAATTGGTCCCAGAGCGAGAAGGGCATTGTTGTTAGGGGTTTGCTAGGCAGGGTGGGTTTTTCTTCTCCCAGCAGGGAGGAGCTCGGTTTGCCAAAAATAGAGAAATTAGTAAGTAAAAGAAATAAGTTAATTGAAAACCTTGCCCCCCCAACCAAAATCGGACAGTTTGGTGCCGTTTTGCAAAGCCGCAAGGTCGTCCAAGCAGTGCTGTGGTCCGCCAGACTCCCCACGCTCCCACCTGAACACATCCACGTCATCTTTAACCAGCACCGCTCTCTGCTTCTCTCCCTCTCCCTCCGTCTGTCTCCCCTGCCGCCGCAGGCTGGGCCCTGGAGCCAGCGGGGGACCCACTGCTGTGTTGCTGTCTTGGCAGGCGGCGAGCAGAGGGGGCGGCAGCTCGGCCTCAGCTTGTAAACGGAGCTGGGCGCTCGGCTGTGCCAGCTCTGGAGGCCCCTTGGGGCTGCCAGTATGCCTGAGTGGGGGCGGCGGCAACCTCCCCTCGGCTGAAGCCTTCGGAGCCAGCAAGGCCTCTGGAAGCTGCATTCTTAGGCAAGGGTGTGGCCGGAGGGCCGCGGATGGGCGGGCGGTCTCTCCCTGGGCAGGCTGCCCTCCTTGCCTCGCCTTGCCTGGGCCTGCTGGCCAGGTTCGCGGGCAGCTGCAGCACCACTGTTCTGCACCTTCTCGGGAACAGGACCAGCGGATGCTGGGGGAGGCTGGGGTTTTATTATAAATCTTCTTCATTTCTGGCTTGTCCATAACCACGAAGCATAAAGAGAGCCAGCTAGACGGAGGGAAGCCAGCTCCTTGCAGACTCAACGTTTGACTAGCAAGGAGCCGCAGGCCCTCCTCAGAGTAGCGCGGGCCTGCTGTGGGCTTGATCTGAGCTGCCAGCTTTCTTGAGCCCCCAGGTCCCTCCCCACCGTCATGGTGCTTCCCGGCCAGAACAGCAGAGGGCGCCGGCTCTCCCGACGGCCTTCCGTCTTGGGCAACTCTCCCACACATCTGGAAATGGGCTCTACCACTCTTACGAAATGCTGGACGAGGATCTGTCCGTGTGAGACGTGCTGGCACCGAGTGAGCGAGCATACACATCAAGAATTCCACTCTCTCATTAGTTCAGTTTCCCCCTCAAGAGCACTGGTGGAATGTGGGGAATTCGCCTTGCCAAGGCAGCCAGCACATTGGAGTCTTGGGCTTGGTTCAGCCTGGGTGGAATGCTTGGAGGGACCACCTCTGGTCTGAAGCCTTTGCCCTTCCCTCCCACGTGGAGGGGGGAAAAGAAAACAGAAGAGCAGGACCTCCCAGGTATTTCCCCTAGGGGAAGAAAGCTAAAGATGTTTGGCCTTGCCCCTGTGGGCTTCCTGAAGAGAGCAACTGCTCACATTTCCTTGAGAAACAAGATCTAATTCTAAGAAAGCATCTTCCCAAATGACAAGCGATTAGAAATGCCAGTGACATTTGCCAACAATGGAGCTGGGAGAGGAGAGACTGACCGGAGGAGGGCAGAGCCGGAACCCAGGAAGGGACCTGGTTGCTATTCCCAGAATGCTCCCTAGACGTCCGCAAGCTGCATGCATTTAAATGTCCACATTTTCCCCGCAGAAGCCAGCAATCTGTACTTCTCTTGGCCAAACAACACATCAGTCTAATATGGTGTGGGAGAAATGTGTTACATTCTTTTATGAACAGAATGTTAACACCACCTAGAATCAATATTTATATCCAAGAACACAATGAACTGGCTTGTTTTGTGCTGCTGCAGGTTTAAGAAAGGGACATTCGGGGGAAGCTGGAGGTTCCCTTTGCTCCTACCGAGAAAGGCAGGCCCATGGCAAAGCAGCTGGGGCTCAGGCATCTAGAGGGTGTCCGCCTCTGAGACCGTGCAAGCTCCCTTCCTGCCCCTACTTACTGCCTTCTGTCTCCGGGGACTGTGAGAAGCAGCAAGTGGGGCAGGATGGTGCAGCGGGGGCCAGGACGGGAGGCAGCATCCTGTCCGCATAACTGTTTGGGGGAAGGAGGGTCAGGCTTGCATCCTGGCACTTTCTAGTGCATATCGAAGTGAGAGCTGACACAACATAAATCCTTGGACGAGAGACTTCTGGGGGCTGGAGACCAAGGGACAGGGTGAGATGGCACTTTTTCTGGTGTCACACTGGTGATTTTTTTTTGCCAAGCAGTCCCCCTTGCCGGAGACAGCCACGGGGACAGAGATGGAAGCCAAGGCTCCTCTCCTCAGAACGCTCTCTATTCCTCGGAGGTTTTTGGGAAAAATGTCAAGCTCCTTAGGCTGTCTTTTTCCTGAATGCTGTTTTTATTTGACTGCCTTTAGAAGCCTCTAGGCCTGCAGCCTGGAGTCAGGGCCTTACTCCTAACATGTAAAGTCCTTTCCTAGTGATAAAAACAAAAACAAACACCTTTCTCCCTCACCCAAAAGATTTCAGTTTTGCCTGCACCGGAGCATCTAGAAATGTGAGTGTCCTCTTCATCTCGTGGACTGAACTGGGGCCTCATTTTGCAGAGCAAGCAAGCCCACTTCGTTTCCAGATTAGATGCTGAAGGTTACCCCTTTAACAATAGCACTTGTCTCTCATTAAATGCCTGCAGCTCATTATGGTATTACCTGCAGAAAAGTCTTCCCTGCTTTAATAGACATGATCTTTAGAAAAGATCCTTCGGCTTATGTATAAGACCAAGACATGATTAATCTTGGCCCCATTTAGCCATGGGTCAGATCTTCAGGCTACAGTGAAACCTCTTCTTTGCATGATCACAATTTCGTTTTCTAAAATTTATAGCCCTTTCCCCTGTGTCGTTAGCATGTTTAGTCGTCGCAATTCCCTTGGTCTGTCCTGTTATTTTCTTCCAGTTCTAAGAAACAATCAGTAAATATCCCAATTATATTTGCTATAAAATCGTCCGTGATAAACAGACAGCATTTCACTGGAAGGCACAAGGCTGTTTAGCATCTTTATAGATGCAAATCTCCCCCTGCAGAAATCCCACTCCAGAAAGCTCTGCAAGTTAAATGCTCTGAACACCTTTAGGGATACTGCCTGATTTAAGCCGACCGGAAAGTTGCACCAGGGTCCAGATGCTGTTTTGGTATCAAGGGCAGAACAAAGAAATAGTCAAAGTTGACGGCAGGGCCAAGGATCAAAGAGTGAAATCTTTAGTGGGGATGGTAGAAGTTGGCAGGGTCTTTGTGCCTGTAGCTCCGTGCCAGGATCTGAGGGGAAGGGGCCGACACTGAGCGCCTCCTTAGGGGTCTTTCATAAATGTCACCCCGAGTCCAGACCTATCTTTAAGCTTTAGAATTGTTGCTATATAGATGCTTATTTAACACCTGCCCTCCTGCATCTCAAATGAACGTGCCCACAGAGATCTCTGATTTGTAGACACTCCTGCCTGCCCCGTCTGCTCCTCTTCTAGACTTTCCATCCCAACAAATGGCGCCTCTATGGATCTGTTTGAAGCTGAGATTTGTGCACAGCTGCCCTCTCTCCTCCCACCTTCCTACCTCTAGCTGTCACTCATCTTGTTCCTTCTGCCGCCCACGGAGCTTTGCTGCATCCTCTCCTCCCCTGCATTCTCCTTCCGGCCTCCACCAGCATCTCTCCTGGGGTTCAGCCACAGCCAAACCTTCCCTCCCTATTTCAATGCTTTGCTCCCTACAACCCACTCTTCCCAGAGCAGCCGGAAGAATTTCTGAAAACCACAAACTGGATTCTATCACTTCCCTCTTTGGTATCTTCAGTGGTGTCCCCTTGCACTCAATACTCAAAGTCCTTAGGATGGCTGAAAGACCTTCTGTGGTCTAACTCCTGTCTGCCTTTTGCCACCCTTCCCCAAGCTTCCTCTGCTTACCTCCCCTGATTTTCATTTAGCCCCTCTACAGCACCGACAGAGGCTGGGCTTCATGCTCTTTTCCTGACTCCTTAACCTAAGTCCTACTCGTTGTTCTGATCTCATCTTAACAGTCACTTCCTTGGAGAGGTCTTCCCTGACCCCACAGTCTAAAATAGGTCCTACTCCCTGCCAGCAGTCTCTGCAGAACCACCACTCTCTTCCTGCTTTTGAGCCCAACGGTGATAGCCTATCGACTTAGCTTTGCTTAATCATGTTTCCTCCACGAGACAGCAAGCTCCATGAAAGCAAGAACCAGGTCTGTTCGGCTGCATTCCTTGTACCAGCCACAGAAGGGAATAAATACTAGTTGACCCTGTGAATGAAACTCTACGGCAACGTGGACAGTTGATGCGAGGGTTTATGCTACTTTACTTCCTGAGCCTGTCTGGCCAGACCGTGTGTTACCCCCAAATTCCTCCCTGAGGAGTCCCTCACTGAGGGTTGGGGGAAACCAAGTCAAATTCCCAGATGTCTCTCCAACCTGCTCCTTTGCCACCCCCACTACAGGTTCTTCTTGCTTCGTGTCCTGCCTATTTTAACAGCCTGCTAACCAGTCTCTCTCTACACTGCTTTGAATTCAGGAGTCCAGCAAGGACTAAGAATTGCAAACATGAACAGGGGAAAAAAGTTGCTTCTTGATTTTCATAAACCTCTAACTGAAATTTTGCACTTTTTTTGGATTTTAAATGTTGGCAACGGAGCCCAGTAGTATTGGCAGGCCCTGTGACCTTGCCACCAGCAGAAACACAGGTATTTTACCACGTAACAGCTGTTGCAGATGTTGAAATACCTTTTATGATCATTACTACTTTAAAATTATGGTAGTTATTAGAGCTGCTGCTAGATTATGTTATTTAATCCTTTAAGAAACACAAGTATTCCTGTGTAACTCATTTTTAATATTCTGATAGCTGTATTTTGATATAGTTGGTGTCCTTTGTAATCCTACGTTTTATTTTATGCACCTAAAAACATTATTCTGAGAAGCGTCCAGGGGCTTCATAAGATTGCAAAAATGGGTTCATGGCAGAAAACGTGTTAAGAACTTCTGGTCTAGTTTTTCTTCATCTCCCATCACTGCCTTGCAAAAACAGCCTTGATGTCTTGCCCTGGGCAAATAAAAGCTAAGTCCCTTAGTATGGCATTCAAGGCCCATTTATAATCCATTTTCAAAAAAATCTTACTATATATTTTTTATCAATACCCTGGATTCCTGTGTTCTAGGAATTACTTGAGTACAGCAAAAATGCACTCATATCGCCAGTTCTACTTTTAGCTTCTCTTAAAGAACTACAGTTGACCCTTGAACAATGCCAGGGGCTAGGGGTATCAAGCCCCTGTGTAGTCGAAAATCCACACAGAACTGTGATCTCCCCAAAACAGTTTTACTAATAGCCTGCTGTCACCTGGAAGTCTTAGCAATAACATAGTCAATGGACACATATTTTGTATGTTATATATATTATATGCTGTATGTTACAATACATTTACAGTACTATACTGTATTTATTGAAAAACATCCATGTAGTTCAAAGCCATGTTGTTCAGAGGTCAACTGTACTTTAAGGCCTAGCTCAAACTGTTATCTTGGTAAAGCTCTTTTTTGACCTCCCCCAAGTACAACCTTTGTGTTTTCCAGAACAGTTTGCTTACAGCCATTTGATAATTTATCAGATCCTACTGAAGTCAGCTTTCATGTTTATTCTTTGTTATATTGTGAACTTCTTGAGGAGACAGATGTCCTCAGCTTTATACCCCAAACACATAGTATGTATTTGGAAAATATTTGAATGAATGACTATATCTAAAATATTCATTCTCCTGAGAGGTGACTAAAATCCATAATGACAAACTAGTTTGTCCTCAAAAACAAGAACTTCTTTTGATAAGTGTAAGTCCACTTAAAAAATACAGCAGCCCCGAGGGCACCTGGCTGGCTGGAGTGGAGAGTGAGGCTCTTGATCTCCGGGTCGTGAGTTTGAGTCCCATGTTGGGTGTAGAGATTACTTAAAAATAAAATCTTAAAAAAACACAAAAACCCAAATTAAAAAAAAAATACAGCAGCCCCAAGGAAAACAGATTATTACCTTACATTCCAGTGCCTGGACCCAGCTGCCTTGAGTTAATGTCTATCCTTGAAGATAGCAAAAGCACCCCTGGCAGGAACTCATTTGCTGATTCCATAAACCTTTTGGCTGTATCACTGATGTCTTCTCCCATTACCCTTCTTTGAATGACGCCAAACATACTGGCCAGTCTCCTTCAAGCAGATGCTTTCCATTACTTGCCCCAGGATTTTCTAGCCATCAGGTTATGGTATGATATTGAAAAATTCTTTTCCTAAGGAGCTTGAAGAATTAAAAAAGAGACCATTCCTTAATTTCATAGTTCAACAAACAGCTTGAGTAGCTGGATCTTCATGTGCGTGCATGTACTGAGGCTAGAAGCAATGTTAGCAAACACTGACCTGAAATTAGACTCTCACAGAACCACAGACTGAAGAGCTGAAAGGAAACATTTAGTGGATAGCAGAGAGATCTAAGTGTCTTGCCCAGGGACTAATCTGCTGGTTGACTCTCAGATTTAGCAAGTCCCACACAGAACTTTTACTTTTTCCTCCATGATGTTCCATCCTTAGGCCTATTCCATCTCAGGTAATGGCACTACCCAGTTGCTCAAGCCAAAAAAATCTAGGCTCGATCCCAGGACTCTGAGATCATGACCTGAGCCAAAATCAGGAGTCTGATATTCAGCTGACTGAGCCACCCAGGCACCCCTCTTAGGGAGTTATTCCTAATTCTTTTCTTTCATTCTCCACATTCTCTTCACAACTTCTGTCCATTACACTTTGAAAATATATCCTGAAATTGTCTGCTCTTTTCTGTCCGCACTGCCACCACTCCAGGCCACTTCTGCCTTGGACTCCGGTGCCAATTTTCTTCTTCTTTTTAAAGATTTATTTCTTTTGAGAGAGAGAGAGAGAGCAAGCAAGTGAGCATGTGCAGTGGGAGGGACAGAGGGAGAGTCTCAGACTGTGCTGAGCGCAGAGCCCAATGTGGAGCTCGATCTCACGACCCTGAGATCATGACCTGAGCCAAAACCAAGAGTCAGACACTTAACCGACTGCGCCACCAGGCGCCCCCTGTGCCAGTCTTCTATCTGGCCTGATTCTGCTCTTGCCTCCCTAGTTCAGGACACGGCAGCCAGAGTGATGCCTGAGCAATATGAATCAGATCTTGCTGCATACTTGTGTAGAGCTCTCTTCACACACCACTTACAATACAATTTAAACTCTTTACCACACCTTACAAGGCTCTACACGATCTTGATCTCGTATTGCCTACCTGGCAACTTCAAAGCCACTCCGCCTCTCTTGTATTCTGTTCCAGCCTTATGGGTTTTTCTCTTCCTTGAAATTCCACAGCTCATCCCTGCCTCAGGATTTTGGCCGTTCTATTCCCTAAGTCCTCACAGGCCGGGCTCCTTGGAATCAGCCTGGTCTGTCTTTAAACATTACTTTTTCAGAGAAGCCTCTCCTCTATCTTAGTTATTTTGTAGCAATTCATCTTGTTTTGGCAACTAGCTGAGGAGAGTTTGTTAGGCTGTTTATAGTCTCTTTTCCCCTAGCAGGATATAAACTCCATGGGGACAGGGATCTAGAGTATCTCCTGACAAAAGAAAGACATTCAGCAAATATTGTTGGATGAGTAGTTCTAATTCTGGTTCTCACATCCACCATACTACACCACTGCTCTGAACTCAGGTCAGTCTCATTAAATAGCTCTAAGACAGTCTGGGTACAGAGGAATGCGGAGGCAGAACTATCTGGGTATAAATCCATTCTTTGTCTCTTCCCAGGGGCAAATTGCTTATCATCTTTGAGTCTTAATTGGCTTACCTGTAAAGTGGGTACAGTAGTCCTACTCTATAACGTTGTGGTTAGAATTAAATGACATAATTTATATAAAAAGCAGAGGAGAGTGCTTGGCCTATGGTATGTCTAATTGTTCTCATTTCCCTTGAATCTTTCACAAATTATAATAGTTAACATTTAGGTGTCTATTCTGTGATAGGTACTAAATGTTTTACACGGATTAGCTAATTTAATCCATATAAAACTCTACACAATTGAAACTATAAATATCCCTGTGTAACAGATAAGAAAACTGACTAGATTAAGCAACTTGCCTAAGGTCACGCAGTAGAAAACTGCAGACCCCAGCAAACTGGAACTCAGCGATTCCATCCAATTTCAGAGGTAGTGAAACGTCATGGACCGTCTTTATTTTGACCCCTTGGTAAGAAACATATTTTACATTCTAACCTAGCACATGTGTATGAACTAAAGTGGGGAAAAAAGTTTTGCAAAATAATACTTACCCTTACTATATGTATTGACAGTTTCTCTTCATTTTAATTAATTAATTTTTAAGTGGGCTCCACACCCAGTGCAGCTTGGAGCCCAATGCAGGGCTTGAACTCATAACCCTGAGATTGAGACCCGACCTGGTATCAAGAGTCGGACGCTTAACCGACTGCACCACCCAGGCGCCCCTCTGTTCATTTTATTTGTAAAAATGTTTTTGACTGACTTGATTTAATGGCCTATTAATAAGTCAAAAGCACACTTTGAAAGCCATTCATCTAAGTTACAATTAATCCAACTACTCTTACTTTCTAGCTATCTCAACCTCTACTAGAAAAACTCTGATGGTTATCAGCTAGACTTTTATATTTATGTTTCAGATAAGGGTTTTATTAGTTAAGATGCAGATCCCTCAAGGCTCAGATCTACTCCCCATTGCCAACCCTCCTGCAATTATGGAAAAATCATCTGTCAGGTGAGATTCAAGCCATTCTTTCACTCTCCAAAAATTATTTAGCTGTATCAAAGCTCTTAATACAAGGTGCCCCATGTTAGAACTTTTTATGCAGTTTCCCCCTGTAGACACACGTTCCCATGAAAACTACACTGAAATGGTTTCTGGATTAGGGGATGTATGGACATTGACATTTTACCTGCTCTCTCAGTCCAGAGTTGGCTCATGAGCTAGTGTTTATTTCTATAGATATTCTGAGTGCAGGGTATGTGTCAAAAGGCAAATAAATGAAACAAAGGAAAAGCCCTTGACTGCGAACTCTCAGTTGCAAGGCAGGAAATTCTTTTGGAAGGCAGGAAGTAGCTATGAGCTTTTCCTCCAAGCAATGCTTCAATTCCCCCACCCTCAGGGAAAGTTTATCCTGGTGTTGTTTTAATCCAGCAGATGCTGAGCAGTTAGAGAAAGGGAACAAACAACTGGGGGAAATAATACCACCTGTTTATGTTGACTTTTACCAAACAGGACTGGCCACCAGCTGTTGAGGGGTTTGGTACAAGCTAAAGTGGCAACAGGAAAGGCAAACTCAGACTGAAGCTAGTTCTCGGCTTTTTCGCTGTTTGGCGGCGGGGTTGGGGGTGGGGTCCCAAGGAAGTATAGGACCAATTCTCGGATGGCCAAGAGGCAAAGGCAATATAATGCACCCTGCTCACTGATATAGCAGGGCTGGCTTTGGTGCATGCACGGAGTAACATGTAACTGTTAGTTGCTTACTCTGTATTCATTTTCCCCTTCTTCAATGACTGTAACTCCTATATCATTGGGGGAAGTAACGTCCAAGGAAAGGTGACATTTCTTGACCTCCTTTATAGTGAGCTGCTGTCACGTGACTGAGTTCTGGAAATGTTGAGTGTGATTTCCAGGAAGACTCTTTAAAGGGTGCTGACTCAGCTGGGTTTGCCCATTTTGTCCTCGCCCTCTTTTCTTCTTCATGCTGCCTGGAATTTCAAAGGATGGCTGATGGTCAAGTGGCTATTTTGGACCATGAGGTGACCCTGAGAAAGGAGCCATGTTGTGGTGCAGACAGGAGCCATTATACTGGTCTTGGACTGCCAACCTTTGGAATACTTTTCCATGACAGAGACACACTTCTTGTTCAAGTTTTTGCTGATTTGGGTTTCTGTTAAGCGTACAGTCAAGGCCCATCTTAACTAAGTTGGCTCAATAAATAATTCTCGGCACTCATGTAACCAAGTCTTTGTGTCCTCCAAAGCATGGTCAGTTCTGTTCCCTAAAGCTTTCTAACAACAGTGTAAGAGAGCTGCGAGGCATGTGTTCTGTCAGAAGAGGAAACTGGAGCTGGAGCAAAGCAAGTCTTGCCAACGCAACACCACTGGCTACTTGGAGAGCAGCAGGCTTTGAAAGCCAGGTTCTCTCTCGCCCCTAGGATTTTAAAAGCATGGTGGAAATAGGTGACAGATTTCCTTTAAAAATGATTTTGATTGGGGCCGCCTGGGTGGCTCAGTCATTAAGCATCTGCTTTTGGCTCAGGTCACGATCCCAGGGTCCTGGGATAGAGCCCCGCATCGGGCTCCCTGCTCAGTGGGGAGTCTGCTTCTGCCTCTCCCACTCCCCCTGCTTGTGTTCCCTCTCTCGCTGTGTCTCCCTCTGTCAAATAAATAAATATTAAAAAAAAAGATTCTGATTGGTTAAGTAGTGGTTATTTTTAAAAGCAAGCATCTAAGGACAACTGATCTCTTCTGTCAAAACGAAGAACATCAGACTTCTTCCATGTTGCCTCCAGAATACCACTGCTACATTAAAATGAATTACAGCTCACTGTTGTTACACCATACATTAAAAGAGTTGAACTCTCAAACAGGCTAAGACACATTTTGAATAAGCAATTAGTAAAATGAATGTGTTAATGTTTTAAAAGCATAACAGTCTTGATGATTAATGTGGAGTTGACAAAGTCTTTAAGATGAAAAGGCAGAGGTAGGACTTTTTTTCATTACAATGCAGGGAAAATTGAATGAGGTGGATTCAACATAGAAAAGTTTTAATGAGGCAAGTGTCAAGCAAGCATATCAACTTCTTCAAAAACAAAGAAAATCTAAAAGTTTAATTACAAAAACACTTGTACAGAAAACTTGGCATTTCAAGAGTTCCAAACACATGTACACAATTTTTTCCCTAAAATTTAATGTTGTCAGAAATAAAACACTTTGTCTTACTTTCCTCAGCTGCTCCTTGTGTTTTAATGAAAGAAAAAAAGAGATCTGTAACACTGAATAGGCAACAAGTTATTTCTTGAGAAGAACCTGTAAGTGTGCAGGAATATCTACAGGTTTATTGGGAAACATGAATCAGGTGCCACGTCAGCCTGTAACCTCACTTACCACCTCCTGGTTGAGCGACGCAGACCTGCTTTACAGAATCTGACGGTTTTGTGACAGCTGAATCCCAGCCACCAGAGTCAGGTGTGTAGTTACTGGGAGAGGCAGTATTTCAAAAGCAGGCTGCAT